TCTCCAGCACCACAGTTCAAAGGCATCCATTCTTTGGCGCTCAGCCTTCTTTATGGTCCAGGATTCACCCGGTAATCAGTCTTAAAATAGCATGAGGGATTTTCTCCAAACACGTAATGTGTCTGATTCTCAAAAGGATCTCAGTCTCCCTAAAACAGTCAATGAGTCTGTGTGGTTCCTTGCTATCCTATCTGCATGAGACACTTTGCAAGTGGTGAAGTTGTTTGGGTCTGTTGCACAATGCACATGTTGTTGAGCATGGTGACAAAAACATGAATGCATTTTTAGGAAGATAGCACCACCAGATGTCCAAAGTCATAACTGTAGAATGTGCTTTCTATGTTTCAGAGAAATATGTCCCAACCCATTGTTCATTTTTAGAGATTTTTGAGTTCTCATTCTTCAACAGATTTCTCCTTTGTTCGTGGGTTGAAATTCTCATTATCTTCTAACATGCATTATTGCCTTGTTTGCAAAAAAAAGACCTTTGAAAAGATGCAGGTTTCACAGCATCAGAGTCTGACATACTTGGACAAATATGGGATGCCTGCATGTTTAATTGGACTCCCTCTTAAACTACCTAAAACTGAAGGACTTGGCTGTCATTTGTTAAACCTACATTTTTTTTCTAGAAATAGAATTAATACCCAGTTAGCTAATGTGCCAGACAAGGGAATAAAAATAGAAGAAATTTATATGAAGGGCATTGAAAGGAGAGGAAAAATAGTCCAGGCTGAAAAAAATTATTCAGTTGCAGATTTTGAGGCTAGTTTTTCTTTACTCTCAGCTTCATTTTGTGGTGCTTTATCTTCTTTTCTTTTTAGGTCCTAAGCTAAAGGGGATTGTTCATGCGAACAATTTCAAGGTAGGGAGTCTGATCAAAAGAGTACTAAATAACAGGTGGCTATACTCTATGTACATATTTCTTAACAGAGTCTTAATGCTGAGACAAATAAACAATTGACTTTTGTTCTTTTCCTTTCACTTCGGATTATTTTTCTGGAAGATGGATCTCTGGCTTGATCACCACCCATTTCACCCTTTCAGTTACATCAAAGAACAAACAGGGCAACCTCTGAGCAACTCCCTGCTCTGCGGAGGAAGAAGGTTTTTGTCTCAGTTCCCCATCAGATTGGCTCACCGTGGAACACGCTACCACTGCTATACCACATGCAACAGTAATAAACGGCTTCGTCTTCTGCCTGAAGGTTGGTGATGGTTAAATAGCCGTTGTTGCCTGATCGGGTTCCTGTGAATCGGTCTGGGATCCCTGGTCCCCTGCTGCTGCAGCCATCACAATGTACAAAGCGAGGGGACTCTCCAGATCTCTGTTGAATCCAGTTAATAGTGCTTGGACTGCTGCTGATGGCACAGGAGAGTTTAATGGTTTCTCCTAGAGATCCAGACTGGGAGACAGGCTGAGTCAAGGTGGGTTGTGAAGTGACACCTTGAAGAAAAGGAGAAAAGACACAATAATGGAGGCACATTTCCTGATCTGATCAAAGCACTGTGGTGGACACACCCCATTTTGCATCTTATCCTGATTTTGCTGGATTGTGTTAAAAGGAATCCTCCATGTACGTACCTGAAAAATCATTCAGAACTGCCAGGAAAAGAAGATTCCAGATCATGGTGAGCTCTTTAGAAGAAGTTGCCTTCTAAAATCAGTGTGTATCTACTTGGGGTTCTTCTGCCTTCTTACTTAAGCCCAAATGGAATGGAAGAAGAACCATTATGCAAACCAATTCAAGCTCTGAATTGGTGATCCTCCTCCTGATGCTCCTCCTCCTGATGATCGCTGGGCAGCTGTTCAAGCCAATGATGAAGAAAGGCATTTGCATAGAGGAACTTGTTTTTTTTTAAAAAAAAAAAACTATTTCAGGATGGTGGTGAGGTGAAGACAAGGTTTCTGGGAAGAAGGGAATTTTAGGGGATTTTTTCCCTTCTTGTTAACCTCTAGACCACACCCACCAGATGGGATTATTACTATTATTGTGTACTGTTGGGGTTGGTACTAGAGTCATTGCTAGAGCAAAATTTCGGGCAAGAAGCATATGATGAACTTTTGGTCAACAAAGCGGGGGGCCATGCTCGTGCAGTTGATTGGCCTAGAACAATTCAGGTGGCTTTTGGGTTGGTTGGGGAACTGCCTTTCCTGTGACAGGAATATATTCTTAGCTGTGGAAAAATATTTTCTTTCAGGAGAATCTGTGGCTGGAAAAGCAGAGAACAAAAGAAGGGAAGGGAGAGTTGGTTAACTGAAGTTATAATGAAGCTTGGGAACAGAGGGATCTGGAAAACATCTAGAGAACCTTCTACACCCATACAGATCAGACCACTGGATCTTTGAGTTGAATATTGTACACATGGACTGCATTAATTCTTTGGGATTTCAGGCATGACTTGCATTAATATCCATTTTCTTGGACAGGCCAAGGAAAGTATAAGGAGATATTGTCCTGAGATCATGAATAAGGCTGAAAAAACTTCAACTGTCTGATGCTAAATAATGTCTACCTAGCTAGAACTTTCTGAAACCACCCAAGAACCGAAAAATTGCCTGTCTCTTCTTAGTCCTTTGACATTTGTAGAAATGGCATTAATCCCAACCAAACCTTCCTATGTTTCACCCTGTTTACTTTTAGATAGTAAGCGAAAACTTTATGCTCCCCTGAAAATTTGCCAGGCAAGGAATATTGTCCTAAGACGACAATGTGAATAAATAAATGCCAGTTATATTTCATGTGTGTACACATTTGCTAGTGTTGATAGGTGTTAATCACCGTATTTATAAATGTTTAATTTTGGTTTCTTTGTTTTAGCTTCCACTCCTTTTATAGGATATTGTTTTCCTTGAAGTGGGAGGGAAACAATCACAAAAGTGAAAAAAGCAGTAATAAATGTCTCCAAGGGATTCCAACAAGTGAATATACCTCAAATGAGATTTTAGTGTTGACTATCAAAGTGGTAATAATGAATGGCATGTTGGATGGCATTGGAGTGCCTTTTCATCTCCACTTCCACCAGTGTGGAACCAACACTTCTCACAATAGGGGACATTCACATAGTTTCCCTAAAGAAGACACCAAATTGAATTTAGGATCCAGCAGAGGTTAATGGGTCATTCCCTGGTCTTATACATGGTTTCTATTAGGTTGAATTGCAGACCGGTCTCTCCAGGAGGAAATGTTACTTTCCATGGTTTTCCTTTCAACGGCATCAGATGCAGGCCAGCTTAAACCATGAAAAAATTGGGAGTTTTTCAACTGTTTCTTGATCTGGTCTACCTCAAAAGGCTGATATAAACATGGAAAAAGTCATGCCAGAAATGTGGTTGCACGCCTGCCCAATTAAATATCAAAAAAAGTCTCTGTTTTGATTATTATTGCATAATATCCACAGTAACAAAATTTCTCATCTGCCAAATGAGAGAATCTCACATTTTTCCAAACATACATACATACATACATACATATATGTATGTATATAGCAAGGCTCATTAAAACTGTGTACACTGGCATGGGAAACATCTTGAGATGTTTCAATCTGAACTGAATGGCTGTGGGTTATACAGTCCAAGGATGGCAACCTTTA